TAGGAAAGCTCTAAGGAGGTGAGGTCTAGGTAATTGTCTGGAACTATGTTTTTTGCAGCCTGCATTTAAGATCCACAGCTTGCTGTGAAGGAGGACAACTTTCTTGTAGACTGCGGGGGTAGAACAGACAACCCCTGTCTCGCATTTCTGTTCTACTACCCCTTTCCCTGTTGTCACATTCCTGCCAGTTCAAGTTCCTTTCTCTTTAGTCTCACAGCAGATGAATCCCTATTCTCACAAGGCAGGGTTTATAACAGTTTTCCAGTTTAACTTGTTACTTGATCTGAAGAGTAGCAGAAACCAGTTCAGACAGCAGAAAAAGCAAGTATGAATTCTTTATGGTACTGAAATAAAAGGAGTCAGCAAGCAGTAGTAAGGCTTTATTATCCATCCCGGTTGATATACTGGGTGCTACACTCCACTTCTTTGAGTCAGACCACTACTTTTTTTTTTTTTTTTTTTAAAAAAAAAAAAAAACACCCCCACCCTTGGGTTTTTTGAGTTCCCTGTGCTCCTGTCATCCTCGGTGACTGCTTGTGTTTTTTGTGTTTGGTTTTTGTGATTGTCATTCCCTCCCCATTCTTGAGTCCTGTCGCCCTTTCTTCTTTAAGAGTATCTGAGATACAGTTCCTTGTTCCTGTCTGCATTTTTCATCTTCCACATGCTGTGACTGTATTCTCATCGCCAACATGAGAGAGGGAAAAGCTTGCAGTATGCACCACGCAGTGTTTAGCACTGTGCTCTGAAAAGAACAAGGTGCTGATCCCAGCAGCTGTACTGCCACACTGTTAGGACAATACAAATATGCTGCTTCTAATCCTGGATTAAGTTTGGTGTCCATTCTTTGCCTGGCACAGATCTCCCTATGTATTATAAAAGTTTCCAAGTATATAGCCATAAATAGTGGCTGGCCTGATCTAATACTGCCGATAGTCCTACTTTGGGTGTGAGGCACCTCAGTGGTCCCTCCCAGCCAGCCTTTCTGTGATTCTAGTAGAAATGTGTATTGCTGAACTCCTTCATTAGCCTTACGTTCTCTATTTTTCATCCAATAGTTTTGAACGATGTGACAAAATCTTTTTCCTGTTGCAGAGATGGTGCCAAATGACATTCAGTCTGAACTAAAACACTTGTACGTGGCAGTAGGGGAATTGCTACGACACTTCTGGTCCTGCTTTCCTGTTAACACACCATTCCTAGAAGAAAAGGTAAGGCAGAGCGTCCGAGTGTGGCCCTGGTTATGATGTGGCCAGATCATTGTTCAGAATGACTGTCATTAGCTTAAAGTGTAGAACTAATACACATGCTTTAAATCAGTGCAGCACTTGCTTATCCCTAGAACTGAAGGTCACAAAACAGCGTAAAACGTTACTTTTTCAGCAGTTCTGCTGGTGCTATTGGTTACAGTCGTCGGTGACACTGTATGTGTGCCTGCTAGCCCCCTCCAGAGGCCGTTGCTGTACCCTGGTTTCAAACAGAAAGGTCGGCTGTATTCCAGCTGCAGTTCAAAACACACAAACTAAAGCCCCCCTTCCCCAACTCTGACATAAAACCTCCACAGCGAAGGTTACAAGAAAGTTTTGCTTACTCTTCTATCCATTGCAAAAATCACTCAGTCCTAACTTCAAATCATACGCTGCTTTTTAGAACAAAGTTGCCCTCAAGAAGAGATGTTTGTCTATAAGCAGGTACATGATTGTAACTTTTTCTGTTGCTATTCTTTCTTCTGCCCTCACATAGATCGCAAAGATTAAAATTTGCATTCAGATAATGTTAGGTTTTCTGCTGCAAAAGGTGTTTTGTTGGAGAACAATTTATTAAAGGAAATTAAACTTCCGTGCAAGTGATATAATACTGGTTTCTGTCTCTCAGGTCATGAAGATGAGGAGCAACTTGGAAAGATTTCAGGTTACAAAGCTCTGCCCATTCCAAGAAAAGATTCGGAGACAGTATTTAAGCACAAATGTAAGGGAAAAATACTCTTTAACTTTAATTATGTGGGTGCATATTAATAAGTGGAATCTTAATTACCAGAGGATGGTAGCTTTGTTATATCTTATCCTCGGGCTTTTTAAGTTTTTTGTTAACTAGGAAATGGGCAGAGGGAAGTTGGGTGCATAGTTAAGCATGTCTCCTCTCCCCATCTCTCCCTGTATAACTTGCTGAGTAATACCACAAACTGTCAAGAACTGTCATTTGAAATCATCCAGGCAACAAAAAGGGGAAGTCATGTTTCATTTTTCACTTCCACCATGAAGTAGAACTTTAGCAACTCCAAAATTTGTCTCCCACCATGTCAGACTGGAAGCGGCCACAGACTAAATACTGGAACAGACAGCACGGTCAAGTGTCACTTCCCTGGGACCTACTCAGCGTAGTAACTCTGAGCTGCTCCCCCTACGGATACTTTGCAATAGAGCTTTGAGGTCCTCTCTTTATCTGGCATACCTCTTTGAGTTTAGTGAGATTACTCTGAGTGAATAAGAGGAAGAATCCAACCGAGTATCTCAAAGGGAGGGGAGGGGATCTGTTTTCCAGTAGCTGGGACATTTTTTTTTTCCCCTCTTAATCTTTCAGTTGATAAGTCATATAGAAGAGATGCTGCAGACGGCCTACAATAAGTTCCATACCTGGCAGTCCCGGCGTATGCTGAAGAAGACGTGAAAATGCATGCTGTACAGGTTTGAGAGCAAAATCTGCAATAGGTATAGGAGTACAACCTAGCATATGTGCAGATCTTATAGTTGTTGCAGGAAGACCTGCAAGCTGTGGACTTCTGGAAATGATGCTAACTCAACTTGCACATTTTTGAAAAAGAACTGAGGTTAAACTTGAAAACTAGGGAGAAAAACAAGGAAGAACCAAAACAGAAGAGCTGAGGTGCAAAAATATTTAAAAGACACTGTTTACTGCAGTTACTCAGGAACTGCTTTTGATTTGCATAAAGAGCTGCTTTCAGAAATAAAAAAATATAAAGAGGGTGTATTAATAAAAATCTGTTTTTCTGTCTAATTTTTTTTAAGAAGTGTATGGCACAGGGTAGAACTCAAAAAGTTTTTCTTCACTGGATTCTGACATCTTATTGAATTCTGTTTGTACTTTTTGCAACAGTTTAACAATGATATTTTAAAATACAGCCGAGACGGTTTTTGCTTCAGACATCTGGGAGAGCGTAGCTGTTGGAAGACAAGCTCCTGCCATATGTTTCCCCACCAATTGGAAGCAAGAGACATTGCACTGGAAGCTGTTTGTGGTCTGGGGTCCCTAAAGGCACATGGGGGCAAACTTTTGCCAGAAGTCTTGGATTTTTATGCAGATTTTTTCAGCCATCAGTTTTGCATGTTTTCCGAGTGCAAATGTGTGCTACTGCAATTTTTTTTTTTTTACAGTGGCATTTGTTCTGAGGAGAGAGTGCATTTTTAAAAATGAAGTTAAATAAAGTTTCTTACAAAAGAAGTCCTTTATTTTCAATTCTTAGACATTTTTTATTTCTTCTCCCAAATCTGTTTTCCTTCACTCTGCCCTTTTGACTGTTACACTATTTTTGGCGAATTGATAATCATTGCAAAGAGAAAAATGTTATTTACACAATGTCCATAGATATTTGGAATCTGTGCCATACTTTGTTCCAAACAGAATCAGTTCACAGTTTCAGACCAACTTGTTGTGTATTAAATGTGACTTAAATGCAAAGTAAACCTGTTTTCTATAATATATGCAGTTTAATGACATCCTTGTATTCTGTTGTCACCTTGACTGTACTAAAGCCCAGTGTGGGCTACTGAACTTTTTTACTTCTGACTAAATGTGACTGTTAGAGCATAAGATGCATTTACTACAAAGACAAATCAGTGACAATATGTATTCAAAGCAAGCACAGCAGTGTTCAGTATGGCAGAAGAAATTCCCGTTAGCCTGCACGATGGCTTAATACCAGATTTTGCCACCATTGGTGTGATACTGAAACATGCTAGTGGGATGTTGGGTGGAGAATTCTTGCAAATTCCTGCAGAAGGAAAGATGTATTTGTATAGCCAAGTCTGTTCTGTGCTGCTGCTCCATTTATGCAAGAAGGGTTTTTACTTTAACTGATGCGTGGAAATCAGCAGCTTCTTTTTACCCAGTGTTTTTGGATTTTTGTATTATGCTAATACTTGGTAAAAGCTGAGGTTCAGTTAAATGTGACTGTCTGACCAAAATTCTGTTTGGAAATGTATCTGTATTGTCAAGCCTAGTTTCCCTGTCTGCTTTTGCAGATAGATGCATGATACCTGCTCTGTGGTGTTGATGTGGTTCTGCTACAAGAAGTGACTGGGCTCAATAAGAGAGACGCTCATTACTTTTGACAGGGTGAAAATGTCACTAGGAATAAACAGATGTATGTACAGCATTTGGGGGATGAGGTGCACGTCTTGTCAAGAGTTACCTCTTGCAATAAATAAACCATTTCTCTAAAATTTAGGCTTAGGGTATGGCTTTATTAAGCCTAATCCTCTTGTAAGTGGAGGCAGCTCCCAGAAAGAAAGGGTAGTTTTATTCTCCCCCATGCCAAAGCATTTGGTCTAGCATCTCTGCGGCCAAATGTCAATGGTTTAGTGAAAGCTGTAACACCTTTCATCAGAAGGTAGGTTCAAGAAAATATGTCTGATTTATATTCTAACTGGGCCTGAAGCTATGAACAACACATTTGAGTATTAGACTGCACTGAGACTTCATTTTAAAAAAATCATGAACAAGGGAGCTTTGAAGATGAAATTAATTCCCCTTCGATTTGAATCAGTGTTTAGTGTTCCTGGAAAGACTGGGCAAAATGGTTAGCATGGTGGAAAAGTTCCAGTACATCACAAGCATTTTACAGGTCAAAGGACTGTTTATAATCCTTAGTGGGATGGTGTTGCAATAGCTTTAAGTTATTACAGCGATATCAGACTGTCAAAATGTACCTTAATTAACAGAACTGGGGGAGAGGGGAAGACGACTACAATACTAAATTCAATAGTTTTGCCTAGAGACTGTACAGGCAAGGCTGCTATGCACTTCATACTGCTTTTTCAGGTATTGTGGCAATAAGGCACAGGCCCCTCCTAAAACAAGGGAGGTAAACTAAATATTCTTTCTTCTACATTGTGTTCCCCTTTTCTGTAGCATGGTCCAAAACCCAGATTCATTCCTTAAGTTTTGAAGCTGAATCATGCATTATATTACTATTGGAATCTTTATACTGACTTGTATTTTTAATGACAATTCATAAAACTTGTATCATTGGCATTGATCTAAGATTTGTAGAATAAACCCTACTGAAAGTCAAGTCTTCTCTAATGCTTAGGCTGTGTTTTCTGATGTTCCATTAAGTCCCAAACAGGCTCCATCCAAGTCTAAATTGAGAGCTGTGTGTAGCACTAGCTCAGCTGTCCCTGCATGTTGGTAGAAGAGGTCAGGAACAAGAGGGTTACGATATAATTACTGACAAATTAATTTCATTTTTAGGGGTCGAGAACTTCTGCTGCAGAGGGAATCCACACCATTACTAGTGCTGCTGTCCCTCTTTTCCTGATCACAGAAAAGCCAGTTAAAGTCTCCAGGGATTAGTACTCTGCTAGTTCCATATGTTGATCCAGCTGCTGTTGGTTCAGGACAGCTGCACAGGCTGCTCTGTCAGCCCGTCAAATCCAGGCCTTGCAAGTAAGGAGAAAGGAGAACTTAAAGCAGATACTGGCACCAGTCTGGCTCACCTTATTGGTAGCCTGTGAATTTCAGCAGATGAAAACACATAGATGCACCACAAAACAGGCTGGGTTATTTCTCTCTCAAGAAGCTCTACCCCAGCCAAGCACAGGGAGCGACATCGTTCCACTGGAGCCATTCCTACAAGTAGTCTCTTGCGTGCTTGTGGAGTAGCTCTCTAGACTGTAATCTTCAGCTTCCCGGGGTGACAAAGCACTGACCAAGGCCCTGTGCTTTCCCACGTGGGTGGCTTTCCCCACCGCCCCTTTAAGATGCTTTTTTACAGCCACAACTATTTTCCCTTATATATACTGTAAACTGCATCCTTACAACTTTTGTCGTGAAGTACAGTTATTAGCTAGAAAGCTTACCTTATTCTTTCCCAAAACCTCTATTGAACATCTGCTTTATCGAGAAAGCCACTTGTGTAAGCAGGGGAGGTGATGACAAGAAAGTTTAAGATCCAGTTTTCCTTCATCCTGTTTCCCTTTCTGAGGGGAAGAACCTACCCAAGCATCCCTGCTATTAAGTGGCCTTGGAGCCTTTGCGTTACAACATGGTTGCAGCTTGTGAGCCGCCATATTCTGAGCCTGTTTCTAAGCTCTCCCTTAGCTCGCAGCAAGAGCTGGAGCTCGATCCAAGCGGAACACAGCAACTTCAGTTTGAATAGCAATCAGACATCACCAGTGATCTAACTTTGATCCTCTGTAAGCCCTGATAATGAATGGCAGATGTGCACCTGCAGTAGAGTTTAAAGCTTGGGGAACTTGAATCACCTAAGCCAATCTCCTGGATCTTTTTCAGGACACTGCATCTCCCCACAGCCACCTCTGAATGCATCATTTCCCCAGAGATACCCAAGTCCTGGTCTATAACACTTGAGAGCAAGAGAATTCACTGCTCCCCTCGGTGACACCCTAGATAGGGGGTAACATTTCAGTGCTTTTTTGGGCTGCCTGCCGTGGAAGAGACGAGGTACAAAGGTGTGAGATGCAGCCAGGGTGGTTGACCTCTGGACCGACAGAGCAGTTTGGCTGCAGAGCTCGCTCAAGCGCCCGGCCCCGGGGCAGTGAGCAGCCCCCAGGCAGGCCCCGGGGCAGTGAGCAGCCCCCAGGCAGGCCCCGGGGCAGGGCGCTCCCGAGGGGGGGCAGCCGTCTGCAGCCCCGCCTCCCGCCCACCCCA